CCTGGATTCCCTGTGTTTCTGGTTCCTATCTGTACCAGTGTACATCCTCTGGTCTAGCCAGACTTGCAAGGTAGAATTGGGATCATGATAGTGGGGGAGGAGGAAGCATTTAGGAACTAGAGGAAAGTTGTATTTTTCATCCTTGCTACATCGCACCCTGTCTGGCTCGTCTCCTCCCCGAGACCCCTCAAGCAGGGCTGTTTTATTCACCACCTTTGTCAAAGGACAGTGCTAACTCACCCCCACATACACTGCCACATTTTCTGCCTTTGGAAAAACCCCAGAGGGCAAAAACACTACAGTGACTGCTTGAGCTCCTCCTGGGAAAGCTGCCTTCAGGGCCCTGGCCTTACGAGGATAGGGGTCAAGTTTGACTGTGTGTGTGTGTGTGTGTGTGTGTGTGTGTGTGTGTGTGTGTGTATTTTGACAAGTTGGGTGAAAGTTGACAGCAAATCCTTTTTCCATCCAACAATTGCTAATTGTCTCAAGCAAGTAATACCCTTTTGATCTCCGTTCATTCTTCCAAGGAGTGGAACCACCCTAGTGTCATTGGCCCCCCTGGAGGCCTGTCATTCTGCTGCAAGTGAGTTCAGGCCTGAAGGGGGTGACTCGGGCGCACCATCTTGTGTGTCCCGCCGGTCTCTAGCCCAGCAGTCAACCTGGGCTGTTGCAGAAAAGGAAGGAATAACACCACTCTTGGACCTCCCAGCTTCCAGAACCTTCGTTCTGACCTTCAGTAAGAAGAGTGCTGCACAGCCTGAAGCCAGCTTGTAAAACTCCAGTCCCCCACCCATCATGCCTCCCAGGTCCTGCTGAGAGAGATGGGTGGGGGAGTGAGGGTGGGGGAAGGAAACTGCCCCAGTGCGGGTATAGAAGGTTGAATTTGTAAATGCATTTTATATACCGTATATACTCGAGTGTAAGCCGACCTGAATATCAGCCGAGGCACCTAAATTTTACTACAAAAACTGCATTAAAAATTATGCTGAAAAACTCGTCTTATACACAAGTATATACAGTATATTGTTTACAGTAAAATGGAGCTTTTTGCTAAATGTATCGAATCCCTTCCTGGCAGGTTTTAAGCCTCTCTGAAGCTGCATCTGTTGGCTTCGCTTGGGGTCAAGGATCAGCTCTGTGTGTGTGTATGTGTGTGTGTGTGTGTGTGTGTGTGTGTGTAAGGGGGTGGGGTGCTGATGTTCTCGTTGGTTCTGGGCTAGACAGAACCAGCCCTTGGGTAGCCCCTGAGTACACTCATTCTCTGACCCAAGTCACCAGCCTTGAAGCAAATACATGGACTCACATGAGCGCATGCGCACACACACATTCTTCACACTGCCCTATCTCTTGGCCCTAGAGACCTCAGGCTTTCCACAGAAACACATTATCAAACCAAACCCATCGAAGCGATTCTGACTCGGGACCTTAGATAAGGGTTCTGAGACCATACATCTTTACAGGAGCAGACAGCCTCACCTTTCTCCCTCTGGACAGCTAGTAGGTTTGAACCCTGCAACTCCTAACTCGGCACCCCCAGCAGCAGCACACAGATATAAACCCTCTCCCCTTTTTACTGTCTACTTCATGGTACTCTTTCCATGGCTATAAGACCTTACTAAAGTGGTTGTCAGTTCATGGACAGAATTTTTTTTTTTTTTTCAGAATTATTTCAAATAGCAGGAGACTAGAGGTCCTAAGCGCTCTGCTCTTTGCACATGCAAGTGTAGTACAAGTTTCCGGGACTGAAGTTCATTTATCCAGAATGCTACACTGTTGCCCACAGGAGTTGTGCCAGGTTCCCTGGCATCTGCCCCTGGGCAAGGGACAAACACTGGGCTGACTGAATACTGAATGGGCTGCTCAGGCCTGCACAGAACCCCTGGCGCGCTGGGCTGCCAGCTGCCTCTGCCCCACTGCTGGCCGAGATGGGCTTCAGCCTGGGCCAGATCTGAACATGGCGCAGAAGCCCACGGGGCAGTTCTATCCTGCCCTCCAGGGTCCCTGTGAGTTGGAAACCAACGCGATGACCTTGAGCTTGGCCCTGGCTTGTTTACTGAGCAATCTGCTGTGCAGCTGTGTCAAACACACTGCTGGTGAATGGATTCTGAGTCGAATGCCCCAGAGGGTTCCCGGTGCTGTGATCGTTATGGAAGGAGCCCAGGTGGCCCATTGCGTTAACACATTGAACTGCTAACCCAGACCTCAGCGGTTAGCACCCAGCTTCGTGGGGTGGAGGGGTGGGGGTCGAAAAGGCTGCCACCTGCTGTGAAGACGGAGCCTCAGAAACCTCTGGAGCAGTAGCTGTGCTCAGCCCCGTGGGGTCATTGGGAGTCAGAAGCTGTTCAACTGCTGTGAGCTAAGCAGGCTTCACGGCAGCAGACTTCTGCCTCATCTCTCTCCTCTGGAGTAGTGGGTGGATTCGAACTGCTGACCTCTGTTAGCAGCCAAGCACTTTAACCACTGCACCACCAGGGCCCACTTGTATTGCAAAAAGTAATTGAAAATGATTCGAATGAATGACCTGGTGTTCGTGGGTCTGCATTCTGGCTCAGTCTCCCCTGCCCTCAGTGCATTACTTAGTGCCCCCTGGTCCCGCCCCCACAAGGAGGGGGCTGTATGATGTGTGCGATCCCCGGTCCCAGCTGCCCCAGCTGCTCCAGCTGTTTTGGCAGACAAGCCTTCCTGCTGATGTGCGTGTGGGTGGGAAATACAGAGCTGGGCAGGGTCATATCCTGCCGAGTGAGGAGGTGACCTTTGAAGAGTGAGCAGCAGCTGGCCCTGGTGAGAGCCGTTCAGGGACAGTTTTCCTGGATGGAGCTGGCCTTCAGAGGGTGAAGTCCAGGCTGGCTCCTTCAACCCAGGAGTCAGGGTCTCTGGTTCCTTGACCTGGTGACGCTGCAACCTGGGGACCTAGCAGCGTTCTTCACTGTCACCCCGGTGGCCAAAGTTTGGATTGCTCACTGCAGTTGGACCTTGCTCCAGGCCTCTCCATTAGCAGTCAGCTTTACCAGGCCCCTTACCCTGGCCGGGCAACCTCAAGGTAGGTGCTCAAAAGACCCAAACTCTATGGATT